TGAGTTCATAATTTATACCTCAAAACTCGAATTAGAGGCAGTATTGATTGGGGAGTGGAATAATATCGATACGGATATGGTTCGAAGCCCTATACCGGGTAATATATTGGCTTCATTGTGGAAAGTCCAGGAGGAGGAGTGCAATAATTTTGTCACAGTGATAATTTCTTTTCTTCTTTACTATTTTATTGAATATATAACGATATGATTTTTCAGTAAGGGGAATCTGCCAATCAAAGAGCTTTCATACAACACAGAATGGGGAGAATTCCAGGGATGGTTGCGGTGGGATTCGATCACACGTCCTCCGAGGCGATAAATCGATGACCTTAACCGTTCGGCCACCACAGCCCTTAATTCCATTTTCTTTTGTCAATATTAGGCTAATTAGGTGGAATTTTGTATTTTGGCTTTTCATTTGGCAGCCGTCTAGAATCGTAAAAATGGTGACAATCATCCGTGTGTTAGCGAAGATAATCTCATACTTTTGTATATATCAGTTTATAGGCTTGAAGGTAACTTCATCAATGTTCATTCTTAACGGTTTTTCGAATAGCTCAAATGTTTTCTTTTTATTGCGATCAGGTTGAAAATTTTTTTATAAAATTCACAACAACAAGATTCCCTTTACCATAACTAAGACAGGTATGAGTGCCGTCAAAGATCCGCATAAATTTACTAAAATTATTGCTCCTCCACTATTTACCTCCTCACATGTCAGAAGATTACATATTGATGGAATACTCGTTGAAAATAGCCTATATATATAGAGGTGCTTTTGTATGTCACGTGAACTAACTCTGTTATCAAGCAACACTTGCCAGTTCGTGACTGTCCACGTGACTCAAATCTGTCTGGCTTTACACATTCAATCAATCACCAGTCGCTTTACACTCTGATCGACAACCGTTCATTTGAGAACACTGTCACCTGTCATGATGTCTCAGTGCCATATCTTCCTCGTTTACGGAAGACAAGTAGCCGATGAACTAAAATACAAAAACCCACCTGTGATTGTGTGGGAAATTTAACATCCCGTTACGCAATTTTCCGGCTCCCCATATTGCCAACTTTAGAACAATATTGTATAACAATTCAGAAATCACACTATGATTATGTGGTGTGCCACATCGAGGTGTATAAAGCGATTTCTTGACTGGACTTGAAACACGTACGCCAAAGGTGAACTGAAAATTTTCCCGCTGGGCGAACTTTTTACCCTAAACGAACGAATAACATGCACTGCTAACCTGATGCGATTTAGTTAGTAATCACATAAACTCGACTAGTTTAAAAAGCATGTTTTTTATGTAAACAAATTTGATCTTGCGAGAGAACTGATGCAATAGGGCTATGATGGCTCACTGTACACATTCAATCTGCCTACAGTATGTGCACATGAGTGTCAACGAAGAAAACGGCGGGTGAGTTTTGTCTTCGGATTGCTATAGGTAAAGCTCAGAAAGCTGCACTTATCTACCCAGTTGACATAAGCTGGCGTTCGGCTTGGAATATGTTTCTATATGTAGTGTCATAAAATCGCTGCGTCGTAATGTCCTGATCTTATGACCAAATCGTGGCTTCATATTGCTTTTCAGATCTCCTTCATGGATGATATCCAATCAAGACGTTTTCTTAACTGTGATGGAATCAAAACTGGCTCGATTGAAGATTTCCTCGTCGGGATCGGCCTCCCAATGTACGTGTCCAGGGTGGCTGAATTGGGCAGCGCGGAGACCAATTTGATTCTGAACAAACCGGCAGATTTGCTTAGACTAACCGATGAACAGATAATTGCCCTCCTCGGTTTCAATCCATATCACGTGGCCTGGCTTAGACGTGAAGCTGCCGCCATTCCATCCGTTGTTTTCACACAGTTTGTTCCACGTCGATTCGTCAATCCGCATGCCCGTGGATCCCGAGTGAACAGTCTGCCACGATCATCAAAACGGTCACAGAAACATGACATTCTCATGATAAGTAGAGAATTCGCCGGAACAAACAGCACGGAGCATAACAAAGCAAAACAAGATTCAATAGTCAACGCATACGACAAAGTTTGATTGTAAAGTGTACATAAATACACAGCTAAAAAAGTACATTGCTTCTTCATGTGTCTGTACCATTCGGTAACAGTAGGTATAGATCCAAAAGACAGTTCCAGAACAAGGAGAACTGTTGATGGTAAACAACGGTAAGGGTACCGATACATTTGTCTACATACGTCTCATTTGAATCAGGTCAACATAATCCCCACAAGCAGGCAGGATAAGTAATGGAACGGTCTGACGCTAGATGCACATTTCCTGCAGTTACAAATCTGAACACAGTAATTGGCTGTAGGAGGAATAGTTCCGTTGTGACAAACCCCCAATCACTTTTTTGACGTTGATGGCCCGTTGGAAATGTCACCAAATTATCACCCCGGGGATGTGTGCAAGAATCCCACCACCATCGCCCAACTTTCCACACTGTGTGTTGAATAGCAGCCCTTTGATTGGCCGCTTCCTCCTTCCTAAAAATTGTATCTTTGTAAATTCAATAAAAAGAAGTAAAAGAAAAAAGAAATGTCTAAAAATACCACTCATAAATGTGAGTTGTACATGACAACACTACTACACAGTATGAAATGAATATCTCAAAATCGTCAACTGTCATTGATGTTTGGTCTATAATTCCCGTATAGCACATCTGTTTTTGTTCCCCAGCTATTGATTAAACTCGTGCGACACCCAACTCACAGCAGAATTCATCATCTCAATTGTTTGAGTCTCAGGTAAGGAATTATGATGGCGTTTTTTATATCACACTCCGAGCGACCTGTTATGATTCGCACAAGACTGACAGCTTCAGCTGGTCCTATGCACCATAAATGTAAACACGTTTGAATCAATGAACCTTTGATGACCAAACATAAAAGGTGCTTGAATTCTCTCTTTCTCTCTCTCAATATACATTATATATATATATAGATATATATAGATATATATATATATATAAAGCAGCACTGTTCATCAATCAATAGTATATATAGATCGTAGTTCCAAACTCATACAACAATATAATTACGGTGAATGGTACTTAGAGCAAGGTGGGTAACCAAATTACAGGGCAGCGGTAACAGATCTTAACAACGATGATAAAAACAAGGTCTACCGGCAGACAGTTTGCGTAAGAGTAGCGCCACAGTGTAATTCAAATCGAGAGAGATTGTTGCATGATATGGATAAGGCTTACAGTACACTTTCGTTTTCGAATACAACTTTATAGAAGGAAAGTAGAATGGGCTTAGTTATAGCATACAAAATGAAAGCACACCAGAATGCGGTGCCATTGTTGACCAAAAGTACACAAATGAACAAAAAGCAGAGAGGTAAAGAATAAATAAGTCCAACAGGACAGTGTGTCAACAACGTCCGTCAATCATGCTATCTGAATAAATAAAATGAAAGAAAACAGACGCTTTGTAATGCAATACAAACGAATATCGAAATGAAATGGGAATAACCACATAAATTCACTCATGCGTAATTTAATGCAAATGGGGAGGAGACATGGAATTGCGATTAGTAATGATATATACAAATATATATCACCCGAGCGACGAAGCCCCACCTACAGTGCTGTGTGAATCCATAAACCTTTGTGAGTTTTGTCAGGGTACTCTATGTAGAATTGTCAGTGCTTTCGATGTGGACTCGCAGCTCAATTGGTGAGGTGTTTTGGTGATCCGGGCCTACGAGATGACGCCAACCCTGCAGCAACGCGTTACAGTTTTCGGACAAATCCGATCAATCAAACCTCAAGAGTGACATCAACAACGCGCGTACGTGTCACTGTTTCTGACTACATTACCATAGAAAGGTCGTACCAGCCAATCAGAGAGCGTGCGGCTAAGACAGAAGCAGAACGATGCAAACACTACCGGAACGCGATCGGTAGAAGCCCGGATAACCAATAAGCCTACTTTGTACATATTATTTAATCCCCATTATTTCTTCCAATAAACGAACTACGATTCCTGAAGCCATTTCCTCGCGTCTCAGTTACGTGGGATAATGCGTGCTAATGCCAGTGCGGTCCAGTGCTTACGTAATCCAGTCCGTGATTGCTTATCCCTGACTCGTATTCCGTGATTCCTATTGCGTGGTTCGTACTCCGTGTTCAGTTCGCATTACTACTACTACTACAATTACCACAGTTGTGCTGTATCAATACGGAGGCGGGGTACGTGTTTTGGTTCGGACACTTCCCGAGTCCCTATTATTTTCTCAATTCATATAATGAACCAATTCGTAATATAGTTATCTGCACCTATTGTACTTTAATAAAATGAGGACGAGTTGGATATCTTAAACGCCACCTTTGGATCCGGAACTGACTACTAGTACTGCCCAAGAAAATCCTTTGCTTTTCGCACAGTAAGAACTAAGATCATTAAGCAGGTACTGCTATGCATCTATATGATAATCTGCAGGATGAGTGCAGTTTCATTCATTCTGATGATCGTCTGCGCACTAAATCCGCGTGATCAAATATCAGAAACACAAACAATACGCAAAATTTTCCCTATCCCAATGCCAATTGGACAAATTGAAACCTGTCAGAGATCGATTGAAACTGTGGTGCCCAAATGCATGTTTCCAATTTCACTCCGCTTTGTTCATCAGTGTTTTACCTTCTTCGGGAGTTCATATACTTAAATCAGTCCGTCGACGAGCACTAGGTTCCCCATAAAAGGGATTGTGTAGAAACTTGCATACATGTCGAACCCACGGGTGTAGTTTAACACGAGCCCGACTCACATGAAAACTGAATGGTAAGTTGCATTGGCTGTTACAAATGGCATTACATTAGAAACGAAATCAAATGAAGGTGAGCACAATATCTGGTCGTGGGAGTTATAGCATTTTCAAATATTTTTGTGCATTACAACGCTGATTGATGTAAATGAGCACCCCTCACTAACGGGACCTAGAATCGTGCTCATGATAAGAAAAAAACTTGACTAAATATTGTTCAACCTATTGTTTGGCAGATTGAAGTTTTTTTTAAATTGTGGGATTCGAACCCACGTATGGACGCCGTCTAGACTTTCGTACGGCACACACCCTACCAGCGTTCACCCCCACACCGTCTGCACTGATCTTTTCACATTCGAATTTATCCATCCAACTTACAGAGGCATATGGCATCGACCAGGCAGCATATAAGCTGACTGCCACGAATGGTTTTCCTTAAAATATTGAAAATCGGTTCTCGTAGCTCGGGTGAACTGAATTCCATTTCGCCTGTTCGCCGAGCTTGGCAATTTGTTTGCAAACGTTTCATCACCAGCCGAGGTGACATCATCAGTGCTTGTGAAGTGGCAGTGTTCTGCCTGTACCCGTTGGTTTATATATGTGTTCTTTTCCACCGACCAGTTTTGTCCCTTGCTCTCATTGTGCTCGACTAGGTTCGCCGTTAAACTGGTGTGTGTGGGTGAGGTTGGTAGGGGAGGTGGTTGTCCATCCGTCCTGATTGGGGTTTTGGCCCGGTCACGGCCTGACCTTTTTTGTTGCTTCATTTGATCCTTGAGTTGCATTGGCGTGTACAAGTGGAGTTTTCAATGTTCTCCTTTAGGGGATTCCAGTTGCGTTCAAATGGGATAAGTATCTGACAGTGTAGCCGGTCACAATATGCAACAAATGCCATGGCCCAGTTTACCAACATTATTTGAAGCTTTATGTTGAGATTGTGCAAATTTCAGTAGCCTCGGTGGGATTCGAACCCACGCATGAACGACTATGAAAAGATCAGTGCGTTGCCTCGTAGCTCAGCTGCTAGAACGTGCGCGTACAAAGCGTAGGCGGCGTCCATATTCGTATTCGTTTGGACTCAGATGTGTGTGGAACTATGTAATCGGATCGGATGCGTACAGTTCAACAGAACAAGTCACTTCTGTGCTAAGGATAGTCCGTAGATCCCCTGTGGTCCGCAGGTAGGCATGTGTGTTCATAAAGGCAAGAATTTTATTGAAATCATTCGACATTGAGTGGCAAGAGTCATTGGGGACTTTCTCATATACTGTGTCTGTTGCTGCCACTGCAGCTCAATTATTTGGATCATCTTGCGATTCATCCTGCAAATTTACCTCAATAGCTTAAGCTCATAAAGGCCACGGTTGCTGAGCTTACACACGATGATCAGTGCAAATTTCACACCACTACAAATGAACTCACAAGCGAGCATCAATTGTGACGGTACAATCAATGACAGGACAGTCTAGATAAAGAGTGATAAGTAATGATTGATCAGTTTTTGAGAATATTGGAAAGACGGCAACTGGATCGCATCCCAGTTCATTATAGAGGGGAAGCAAATCCCCGTGACGGATAAAAAGAGCCCTACCCATAGATGAATTACCATTGAGCGAAACATCATGCATTCACATCTTAGGTATTTCAGCTGACGTAAAAACAATTATGATTGCCTTGGTTCTCAACTTAGAACCATTCAGACATACGGCTTGGCTATAAAGACGGGGAGGATAGGGGTGTTGGCTCCGTGCAACAGCATTTTTTGTAGGCAGGATGTGTTGAAAACGGTAATTATTATCATAAACGCCGGGACAATGCAAAGTTGATTATCACGATAACGGATAAATGTGGATGAGCTGAAACCCATTTCACAGTTTAATTTTTCACAAATCAGTTGGTTTCGTTATGTTTTTATGACACGTTTGAGTCTTGTTTTTTGAATTGAGAAAAGTTCAGGAGCCTCGGTGGGATTCGAAACCCCGCATGGATGCTGTATACAGGGTTTTTGGTCAGTTAGTAAAAACAGTATGTGGTGAACACGGTGAGACGTCAGTCTGGTGAAATTACAGTAAATGATTGTAAAGGCATTATGGTGTGAAGTATAATCCCAACGTCAAAACCGCGGGGAAAATTTAAACTAACATCATGCTTAGAATTTATGCAGAAAGAATAGAAAAGCAGCAGCTATTTGTAATTTGTCGGAGTAAAACAAAACCACGTTTGGTGTACCATTTCGGATTGAAAATCAGTTCGTTTGCTATTTCGTGTTTGTTTTTCAGGGGCATCTTAATAGAGCCATTCGGAAGTCAGGTGGACGTGAAACATGTCTCCTCGTTTGAATTTTATATTTTTGCTTCTTTTCTGAATTTCCCGACCAGGAACGAACATCGTCAAAGAGCAGACGAATGAGATCGGGACCGACGAT